CTTTCTGGGCTGCAAGTGCAGCTCAGAAATACATAACCCCAAAACACATTATTGCTACACACTTGCATTCAGTAACATAATGTTCTTCTCTGGAAGGACAAATACACTCAAGGCAACTGAGGACATGAGTGGAATAATCATCCTCTTCATGACTTGTGGCAATTCTAAGTACCTCTTGATTTCATGGCTTACAAAATGGCACATGGTTATCACAAGCAAATGCTCCACTGCTATTTAAGCAGCTTCTGGGTGACCATGAAGGCAAAGTACCGCTGGACATCTCCAAAATTTGCCTTAAGGCGTGATTCAGCTACTAGCCCAGGAACCCAATGGCCTGCTACCTTCCAAACATCTTCAACAGAGCAACTTCTTGAGGCACTTGATGTAAATCAGCACTGCTCTCAAAAAAGCAGCCTCATCACGGCCAGGAAGCAGCTTTTGTGTAAGGCTAACTTTCAGCTGCATCAGGTGGCACAGCTGGTGACACAGAGAAGGCAGGATTGCACAGCAAAGAGGAGGAAGGCCTGGGCCACCTCTGGTGTCAGAGAGCAGTTTAAGCTGGTATCTATGGATATGAACAGGCAGAGCAGCCTCTGCTTGCCAGTAACAACTGATGTTACGGACAGACCAGCAGAGCCTTTGCAAACACCCTGGGCAGAACATGCAGCCCTTGGGAGATGCTGAATTCACCAGGAGGTTTAGTTATCTGTCCATGGTGGCCATCAACCTAAAGGGCTTGTCACCCTCTAATAAATGTATTTCTATTTCTTAGGACAGGCGGTCACAGCTTTTGCAGGCAGTTGCTTTTCCACAAACCAACATAAACACCCCACAGTATAGGAACAATTTACATGACCAAGAGGTGCTAAAGGTAGGAAATTCCACCCTTGTGTGATGGTTCCCTCCTCCTTCTAGGGAATACAGCCCAAAATTGTGTCTGAAGTGACACGTATGTAGGAATCAGACCCCTCAGTGAAGTCTTCTGACGAAGGAATAAGCACTGGAGAAGTCAGTGAGCCAGGTTCCTGTCTGCACTGTTGTGACGTGAGCACTCTCTCTCTCTGCTTCATGTCCTGTACACAGTGGCCTCTTCCCTGCTCCTGGACCGACAAGAGTTTGCCTGGTCTAACCTTTAAACACAGAGGTGAAGGGTGAGAGAACAAAGATGCCGTCAAAGACCAATCCAAACCGTTGACCAGCTGTCAATTTCAGTTTGGAGAGGCATACAGCTAAGGATGCTACACTTTATTGATCAGTGCTAACAAAAGTAAGAACTGCATAAATATAGGAAAAGTTCAAACAGCTGAGAGCAAGCGGCAATCAGCACACCACGATGGATAGAACTGACCATGCATAGGCAGGTCTGCCAAGGGTCTCCAGCTCCAGTCAATGCCATTAAGGAAACAAGAACGTTTAGATACCTCAGTTGTGTTCTTTAGGCTCAGAAATTCAAGGCAGCAGTTCCAGACTTGCACATACAAGATGCCTGGCTTCCAGAAACAGCACAGTGTCCCTGCTAATGGAGGCAGGCATGCACACAGGGGCTTTTGCTGTACCACCTTCCCTGTATGCACACTGGCAGAACACAGTGGGAGATGCTCTGGGATGTGCCTCTGCTGGGCCAGGTGAACCAAGGGTTTAAACAAAAGTCGGTCCAGCTCCTGCAGCAAGTCACACTGGCAAGGCAGTGGGCATATTGCATCAGCTCTCACATTCCCTGTGTGATCACCCTTACAAAACACCACATGCCCACAGAGTCTCAACCTCCTTGATCAACTTACAGGCTAAAACCTGCACTTCAGTGAGCCAGAAGGAGCCACCCTCATTTTTATTTGAGCCCAGGATGAGAAAAAGAAGACCCTAGTCCCAGAGCCTTCAGAGCGCACGAGGGTAAAAGCAGCAGAAATACGAGGCCCACACTTCCAGAACCCTGCCCCCCTCAAGTGCTGGAGGACGTCACCCCGTGCCCTCTGCACACCCTGGCATCCCTAAGGGACACGAGGGAAAGATGCGTGCATGCTTCAGGCCATCCCAAGTGTCCCTCTTCCTTAAGGTAAGCAGGCTCCAGCTCCAGCATCTTCACTCATCTCAAGCACCCACAAACAGCCCTGTGTACTTCTAACTCCACAAAGGGGAATAGTGATTCATTTTGGGGCAGCTTCTGAAGGACAAGAAGCAGAGCTGTGAGGTGCAGCAGTAAAGCAGAGTAATGACCAAGGACCAAGGAGAGGGAGAAAAAAACCATACAATGGTATTGTTTATTGCAGTGCAATTTGTGTGATCTGGGTATTTGGGAAAAGGATAAATGACACATAGGGAAAACCATGTACTTCTCCTTAGCCTATTCTTGACTATCAGACAGAAGAGGTTCTATTTGTGTACTTTGCTCTCCACCATCTTAATTCTTTCAAAGCAAAAAAGATCCATCCATTCTTTTCCTTCAAAATATGAGCTGCTGCAGGCCAGGCCACCTCATTTCATTAGCAGTAAAAGCAGTGTCTCTTTTTTCACCACTGTGCCCTTCTTAATCTCAGACATGTCAGCATTCTCTTGGGTTTGCTTGCTACATTCCTCAGTATTTGTCACTGCTTAATTTTTAAACCAAAAAGAAGAAAACTGGACATTACAAACTTTTCCAAGGACAGAATATGTCAGTAATTTTGGTTTTCACACCATCTAGCAAATGTCCTATGTTTGCATCTCTACACACATAATATACATTAATTTTAAAAAGGCCAAACTACTCACAATGTGAAGGATTTCTACTGATCTTTTTCAAATGGATAGCAAATGTTGAATCAGTGTCCCATGAATTCAGAGCTCTGCCTGCAATGTCTGCTTAGATGACAAAACAGTGATGGATTGGGACTTGGGTAAGGATTGAGATTTGTTTCTAATCTCAATTTAAAGAGATTTAAAAGAGCTCATGAAAATGTCAGCATTTTTCAGCTGGTGAAACATGAAAATTGGTTGTGTGAAAGTACTTTGTTTCCAAAATCCCACAAACACAGGAAAGACAAAAAGTCATAAGAGAAAATCCACATGAACAGAAATTTTGGTGCATGAAAAAGACCATTTTATTTAGCACAGGATTAAAAAAAAACTGAAACACATAATAATATTTAACAAGGTCTGAAGATATCTCACGCCTCATAAGTCAGGACACACTATTTTTTAGATCAAAGAGCAGTATTACACATCTCTCATCCTTGTTATACTTCATTGCTAAGATAGAAAAGGTTCTAAATTGAATCTGCCCTGTAATTCGCTACTTAGAGCCATGTCTTCTTGCAGCAAAATATATTTTTACAGTATCCCGGAGAGCTGTACCTCTGTCCTAAGTCACCTAGCACTATTTACCTTTTCTCATCCTTACTGCAGGTACAGTAACACACCTAAGGGGTGATTCCCAGCATGTCCAAGTGATTTAGCACAGGCTTATCCCGCTAAATCAGGCTGAACCCGCTGGGGTTGTGTCCGACGCAGCTCGGCACGGCCTCCTCACAGGACGCCATTTTCCAGAGCACTTCTGAATCAATTCCTCCTCCATCTCCTAATTCTCGCTGCCACCCGGGGAATTTCGCCCATCTGCACAAGTCACCTTTTCCTCGGCCCCTTCCAGCACCCTGGCACGCTCCCCCTGGCAATCAGCTCTCGGGATACACATCCCCGCATCCACCAGGCTGGCCACGGGGCGCCAAGGATCCCGTAACCTCCTTCTCCCACTAGGCGCTACCCACTGAGCGCCTTTGCACCTCCCAGCCCCGTCCTTTCTCTTTTAGCTTTGAACAGCTGAGCTCGGCCCGACCGCGGCAGGGCCCCTATGGCGCCCGGGATGCCGGAGCGTGGCTCGGCCGCGTGTTCCCGGCGGGATCCGTGCGGATTCCCGTGATCCGTGCGGATTCCCGGCGCCGCCCTCAGCCGCTGCCCTCAGCCCCGCCCGGCCCGGGCGCGCGCCCGCGGCGGGGAGGGGGCGGGCGGCGAGAGGCGGGGGCGGGGCGGGGCGGGGCGAGCGCCGGAGCCCCGTCCCCCCGGCCGCGTGCCCGCGCGCGCGCCCCCCGCGCCGTGACCCATTTCGCCGAACAAAGGATTCGCGCTGGAATCTCGCTCGGCGCCGGGACCTAAAATGGCGGCGACGCGCCCGCCCCCGCCCCTTCCGCGGGCGCCATAGAGACGGGGCGGGCGGAGCGGCCTCCCCTCGGCGCCGCTCTGTACGCGGGCGCAGCCCCGGCTCGCTGGTGCGGGCGGGAAGGCGCTGCCGCGGCATGGCGGACGAGGGCGACTCTGAGTCGGGGAAGGTAATGGAGGGCGGGGGGGCGGCGAGGGGCCAGGAGGAGAATGAGGATGAGCATGAGGAGGAGGATGAGGCGGAGCTGGCCGCGGCAGCCCCGCGCTGGGGACGCGGGAGGTCATTGCAGAGCAGCGGTGACCGTGCCCCCACCGCCCCGCCCCGCTGTTGCAGCGCCCGAGGAAATAGCTGGGGAACAATTCACGGAAACGCGCGGCACAGCTGGGGCTCTGCCGGGCCACGGGGGCGGGCGGGGATTGGGTGTGAGCTGTGTCCCTCGGATTCCGCCGGGACTTTCTCGTGGTGCTGAGGCCGGAGGGTCCGTGAGGCCGCTGGTCAGCAGTGGTCAGAGACATAACAAATGATGCCCAGCCTGGCAGCAGGTGAGACGCTATTTTAAAAGGATGCATCACGCTGCTTGGATGTAGCAGGGATACCTTCTTAGCCAACAACAGCAACATATCAAGTGACTTCTTCCATGTGAGAGCGCTTGAAATTACTCATTAGGAGGTTCGACCAACATAGACCACATCCTTTCTGTCTCGCTTGTACACAGGGACAGCTGATGGCTGTCCCGAGGGAACGTGGATAAAACTAACGCTGGGGATTTCCATGTCTGCCACCCCCATTACCACAGCGACACAATGACTTCTCCCACAGAGTTGTCAGCTCTCCACAAGCAGTTGAGCACTGTAGCACTCCATCTGCACTGTAGTACTCCATCTTCAAAATCTACTTTGACCAAGTGGAATACCTTCACAACAAAATAAAGCAATCACTTTTGATGAATTTTGCTACAGTTGCACACATGATTCTTCATGCTCTAATGGTTTAAGCACAACAGACTGAAACGTATTCTCACACCATCCCTGACCAAAGGATTGGCAGCAGAAAAATGTTCAGGGGTTACTGAGGGGCAGCCGCCTTGACCCTGACCCATGTGCCCAGCCCCTGCCTAGACATAGGGTTAAGTCATAAATTAGTTAGGTCTATAAATGTTCTTATTCAGTATTAGGTTCTCTACTACATGCTCATTCTCCAGTAAGTTAACTTTTTCAAATCACATTTGCTTGCTTCAGGTACTAAAATTACATGGCATGACTAACTGCATACTTGATTGTAGCCCTCCTTCTTTGTTGCGATGTAACAAAAATCCTGGATTCTTAAGGGTCTTCTCTCTTCTTTTTTTGGGGAATGTAAAGGTAACAAATTAAGTAGTTAATTTGTAATATTCAGTGAAAAGGATGGATCAAGAGTTTTGTGCAAAACTATATTATATAAATTAATAGTTAACTCTTCCAAAAACATCCCTGATATATCTGTACCTGTTCACTTTTGGTCATCTATAACCCTGGACACAGTAAGTTCTAAACTAGTTATGCTTGACTATTAAGACAACAAGTCAGTTTTACAGTTGAGTTGGCATCATAGACTTCTACAGAAGTGATTTTTTAAATTTATGGTTGGTTTTTTTGTTTTGTTTTGTCTTACAGTCCTTTAAACTCTTTGGATTTCTCGATGTTAAAAATATCCCATGTGCACGAGAATCAGTGCTCTATGGCTCCTTGGGGGCCTTAGTTATGGGTCTTGGACATTTTTTAGCAACTAGTAAGTACTTACACCTTTTGGATTTTATATATTTATTTGCAAGAAAAAATCTTCTATTTGTTGTTAGGTGTTATTAATAATGGGAAGTCATGCAAGTTGTTTTCTCTAACTTTTCATAAGATTTTTTGGTTTTCTTTCAGGTAGAGTTAAAAGATCTTGTGATGTTGCAGTTGGTAGCTATATTTGCACAATGTTAGGATACTGGTATGTAAAATTCTTCTTCAATTTTGATAGGCCTATGTTGACTGAATGGTACAACATGATCCCTGTGTTTCAGTTTTCAGAAACAGTGTTTCATGGTGATTTTGAAACCACATTTTAAAAACTGCCTAGCAAAGCATCCTCTTCCTTCTCCCCAAAATACTTATCTTCTTTAAAGGAAAACATTTCACTGTGTTTGAATGTTTATGTTTATATATATTTAAAATATTTCCTATTGTTTCTTGAATTCTAAGCTATCAATTCCCCCACTTATTTCCATTTTTCTTAATTATTTTTTCCTTTTCATACCCCATCCTTGTCCTAATTCCAAAGGCAGCATACTTAATTTTACTAGCAATGTGGTTGCAACTTTTCAGCTGCCTGAATGACTCTGGTTTGATTCTTCCACTCATATAAAGTAGGCAATTGTGTTTCCTTTTCATCCTCTCCCCTAGGTTTTACTGCAGGTTCAACTTGGCCCAGCAAAGGATCCGACAAAGAATGCTTAAAGAAGGAATGAAAAACAGAATTTTATTTGAAGGCAGTTATCTTGATCCAGAAAAGAAACAAAGTGGCAGTGAAAGAAGCGATTCATAGGTTGCTCCGGAAGAGTTGTGGTTTAATACATCTTTGGGAAAAGGTGGTCCAGAAAAAAGTCAGTCTACACTGCAAGCCTGTGAGGTGTCTAAAACTGGTAAATCATGGTTTTCCTAGCAAATCTGAGCAGGAAATTCATAGTGAATCTGTTAAGTCGGTACAAGCCTTGCTTTGTTTCATGTATGTATGTATGTGACTGCAGACATTTGGAATGACGTCCTGTCAAACATCTGGGAGCTGCTGTGTTCTCTTCAGGGTCTCAGAGGATTAACAACAGTGATTTGGGACTGCTTTAACTTCCATTATAAACAGAGCCTGGTTTGTTTTAGCAAAGTTGTAATTACATCTCATTCAAATACAGGAAAATATTTCCATCACCTGTTGAGCCTTCAGTGCTATTATTAACAGTGCTGTTTGTGAAACAGGAGTGTTTGAACAGGAGGAGAAGGCTTTGCTTGTGCAAAGTGGATGATAGTCAGCAGCCTTTGTAAGATTTCAGCTGCAGGATAACCAGATAACTTACATACATTGTGGAGCTGAAGGATTTCCATCTTTGTTGTGTTTGAAACTAGGAATAAAATCATACTTCAGAGCAGTCTAAACTTTGTAATTAAATAATTTTTTACTTCATTAAAAATCTCACGACTTAAGACACTTCTCTACTGTTTGTTGAATCATAATCTACATTATTTGTAAGTAGCAGTGCTTGTTTTTTCTTTCATTTTTCTCTTTAAAGGCATGTTCTACAGTGATTTTTCAGTTAAAAGAAATATCAGTACACAATGTCAAGGAAACCATCTTATTTGGAAATACAGTGTTAGGTCTAATAGCATATTGGTAAAAAGATGAGTGATGACATCACTTGCTTCTGCCTGCATGAGTGACACAATGTGTTTATTTTTACATATAATGATTTATGGTCTATTATGCTGTAAGCACTTTCTGGTCTAAAGGCATGTCACCAAGCAAAACCAGTCCTTTTCCCCCAGCCTGTACTTAGTCTGAGAGAGTTTGTGATCTGTTGTTAACTCACATTGGTGCAGGGAGGTTTGAAAATCCAGATATAAACAGCAGTATTGCTCCACTTATTTATTTGGAAATATACTTTAGAGCACTAAACAAACATGCTATTTACACTGAGGAAATTAAACTTTTACCCTCTGTGGATTAGCTTCTTATAAGAAGAAAACAAACCTATATACTCTAATTCCTTTTTGCCCCTCTATTCCTCATGTTTGTTCTGAGAGAAACAAAGATAAATTTTATTGGGGACATTGACTTCAATATTTTATATAAAAAGTCTTCAGAAGAATTAATGCAATGAAACACTTACTGTCGTCACTGCAAATTCCAAACTGAGAAGTTAATTGGTAGCTAATTCAGAAGAGAAAAATGTTTCCCCTGGTTCTGTGCTGGCTGGGGGGCCACCGGGCTGTGGGAGGCTTCTTCTCCTTGGGCTGGAAGCTGCTGCTTCGTAAGGCCCTCGGAGCAGCAGTGGGAAACAGAGCGAGCCATGCAGCTGGTCTTAACCAGCTCCTGTTTTAGTACATGGCTGAGTTCTCTCCTGTCTGACCTAAGAAAAGAAAGTGCAGCCTAAGCAGGGGGTCCTTTGGCTGCAAGGTCATAGGGCAGCTGGGGGTTTGGGCAACAAAAGCACAGGGATGAAAATTTACTCTTTGGCAAAGAGCAGCTGTAGAGGGAGAAGTGAAGAGTGTTTTGTGCTAATGGAAAGAAGTTAGCATGTGCATAATTGCATCCTTCAAAACACACACATACTGTGACTGGTGAGAAAGTAAAAGCAGCATTATGATACTGTGTAAGTAAAAAAAATCTGGGGAAAGTTGCAGCATTAAAACCTGTCTGGTGTTAATTGGTGTCATATAATTTACTGTATTTAAGGATATTAGCCCAATAGCAGCTTAACCACAGTTTCAGCAATAACTCTGAAATGCTAGATGTATCTGCATTGCATAGATAACTCATCTAGTGCTTTTGCTTCACTGTGCAGAGTGTCAAATGAGCATGCCAGATATTCACAGAAAAACTGGGGAAGATGCAATGTGCAGGCAGCCTGGCCAGCACACTGGAGCTTCAGTGTTTACTAAAACTAGAGGTGGAATTAACTGAAAGTCAAGGCCTTTTCCGAACAGGGCAGGGCAGGGATATAAGACAAGGAAGCAGTGAGCAGGGCTCTGTTGGTGTGAAAGGGGGGCTGCAACAGCAGAGGGGAGAATGCTCATGGTCAAACATGCAGGGGAAAGTCTGGCATAATTCCTTGAAGTGCTGCCTCCAGCTGCTTCCGTGCCAGCTATGGAGAGTGAATTGAAAGTGACTGATGGGTTAGCCCAATTAAAGAGTGAGAGACAGGATAAAACAAAAAAATCTCAAAGCTGTTGGTTGTCATAAATTAGGATACATTGACAAGAAAACAAAAATTTCTGTTATTTAAGTAATTCTGACATTTGAAAACAACGACATAACTATATTTTTTAAATTAGTGAGTTGTATCCCTATTTATCTGTTACTGCTAATTTCATAAATCTTAAGTCATTGGTGGAAATGTATAGCACACCTCTGTATTTTATTATCATACTTGAAATGTAAAAGAATTGCAGCTAATGACAGATATGATAGTGTTTGCTTTGCTTTGCATAAATTAAAACTTAGCAGACAGTTACTAGGATGGAAAAGAAAAATAACAATTTTTAAGATGTTTGGTTTTCAGCCCCCTCAGAATAAACCATAAAAAGGGGGAGAATGAAGTTTAGCAAATTGAAACAAAATTGTTAAATCCTGTTTATTTCACCGACAGTTACGTTACTTGGTCACTGAGCAGTGACTGACAAGCAGTTTTTATCCCTGAAGTTAGGGAAATCCTTCCTTTAAGCAACCTAAACCACCAGCAAAACAGGGAGCTGAGTTTCTGGCCCCATCGCTCCTCCAGAGCTTTCTCTTCCTGTTCCCCGCAGTAGCGGAACTGGGAAAAGGCGTTTGCAGCCTCCTCCAGCAGGAGCGCACGCCTGGCACTGCAGCAGCGGCCACTTGTGCAAGGTGTGTCCTCCGGGTCCTCCGGGAAGGGAGGCACTGTGGGAGGCACCTGGAGATCCAAGGTTCATTGCCAGCCCCATTCCCAGAGCTGTGTGCGATCGGGTGCCGTGGGTGCCTCTCGCAGGTGCAAATGTCCTTCAGCCACTGGCAGATGCAACAGGCTCAAAACCCAGGAACTTTTCTGAAGGTGACAGCACAGGCAATTACAGCTGCCATCCCAAACTTGTCCCTTTACCCCTTTACCCAAGCAGAGATTTTAGGGAGATGTTGGCCCTCTCTGCATTTTGCAGGTTTCCACCCTTTGTGTGTCACCGCCCACCCCACGTCCTTGAGTGCTGCAAAGTAAAGGTCATCTCTTGTCACTGAGCCTGGCTCTTGGTAGGGGTTTTTTATTTGGGTTTGGAGGAAGTACGTTTGTTATTTCTGGTATAAGCAATCCAGGTAACAATGAAGTACTGTGTGAATTCAGCTCTAATGAGCTCCCAAGCAAAATATTTTCTCCAGCTTAGTAGACTAATTCCCATACTTCTCTTGTTCCTATCCAGACATTTAGCTCAAGAGCTCAGTGGTTACCCATGAAAGTTGTTTGCTTCCTCCATTTAACTCTTGAAACAAATACATTGTTCTTGCCTTGGAAAACTCATCAAAACAAACTTTTACAGTATATTCAGATGCTCAAGAAGATGATTTTTGATTGTTTTTTTCCCATAAGTGAAGAAGTAAGAACTAATTCCATATCAGAAGTGGAACTGAGTTTTAGTCAATGTGACTCAAGGCCTTGGAACAGATAACTTTATTACATTTAAAATGAAAGTATTACATTAAGCACGTACAGCTGCTAAACCTTCAAAGGGGGATGGAGGAGGAGGGTAATGAGAGGTAGAACCTTGGATGACAGTTTGAGGAGAACTCAGACTTTTGTTCATGGCTAACAGCACCCTGACTAAAGATAGGTCCCCTCTTTTTCACACACTCCTTTGGTTTTTTCCTGCTTGAGTTCATAGTTTGCCTGAGAGCCATCCAGCAGGGGGTCAATCTGCCTGTTCCTGCAGGAATAGGTCACGGCATCCTTATGTCTGCTTGTTTTCAAGATTAAGAGCAGTTTGTTCTGAGGCTATTTTAATCCTGCCAGCTTCTGTCATCTGTCATGGGCAAGAGTGCGTCAAAACCCTCAACTCTCCTGAACATGCCAGGAGCCCTCTGGCAGTACCTAAAATGTACCATGGATTGTTCTCTTTAGACTGGCCAGAAATACCCAGATTGTATTGAGTGGTCATCTAGCGAACAGAAACAAAGATTCCCCCTTATCCTGCTCTGGAGAGAAGGAAGCACATGCTTTGCATATTTTTTAAACTCCTTGTTTATTTTGTCAAATGCTGTAACAAAGAGCAGCAGGTGTGCTCTCAGCCAATGTGAGTTTTCTCCCTAGACAACAGATCCTCATCTCTCCTATTGATAGCAAATGGCTTGGGATAACTCTGGTGCTCACAGTGTGCTTTTATCCATGACACATCTTGCTCTTCAGTCCTGCATACACATGCATGGCAGGCCTTTGGAGTTCACTTACAAGCTTTACAGCTCTGGCTGACATTCATGCTTTCTGCCATCCAGGTCAAGAGATCTCACCACCTTTACCTTTGCCAGGTGGCCACAGTGAGAGATCTTTCTCCACCATGTCATCGCTGTGAAACTGCACAGATGCTGTGGAAACAGGATGGGAGATGCAGCCCACCTGCCATTGCTCTTTATGTTACTTAAGCAATTAAAGGGAAGCTAATACCCCTCCCTTTCAGGAAACGTTCAGGCTCTGGCTGAGATAGTGGCAATATCTCTGAAGATGAAAAGCCATTAACCGGTTTATTACTGGACTGATACATTTCCACAAATGCCTGTTGCAGGAGTCCTTCACATAGCAAATACAGAGCAAAAAAAAATTGTAACAGCCTGTTCCCCAAAACACAGGGAAAAGTACCCTGTTCAGACCCCCCCAAAGAAATCTGGAGCTACCAGTGATTGTTACATGCCGTGCTGATAAAGCTTTCACCCAATATTTAAAGCCCTTGAGGGCTGTCCTGAGGCAGCACTGGGAGGCCATGACAGAACTTGTTTGACTCGGTTTCTTAGCTCTGATAGTATCCCAGTGTCACATTCTTCTTCATGAGACCTAAACCTCACAAGGTCCCCTTGAAGCAGAACCACAGAGGGCTTCTTACAGCCACTAACATGAACAACAGCCCTCTCCTTCCCGAAAGCCAGTCAGCATTAATTTCTACTCAGAAATTTCTCTGTCACCATTCATCCTTCTGCTGGGGACACCATCCCTCAGTCTGTACATCTCTGTCACCCACACAGGAGCCTTATCTAAGAGCACCTAAGTGGGTCACAGAGTGGCCCCCGAGCAGATGGCCGGGCAGCCGCTCCCTCGGAGCACTGCTGGTCCCAGCAGAGCCAGGGACGCCCCCTCACATGGCTCTGTGCACACACACGTGCAGCCACACGCCTCGGGAGTGCTCTGAGATGCCACAAACCACAGCTCGGTGTGAAGTCACACACT